AACGTAAAATATAAAAATAAAACTAAACTCTAATTAACTTTAAATAATAAACGTGGAAGATTGGCCTTATAATAACAGGAAGCGTATGTAGTACAGAGACTGTGAACACTACAATACGTTTAAAATTATCAAGAGGATTAAAACCTCTGGCCTGGAAGGCAAAAGCAACTGAGTAACTTCTAAGGTAAGCGGCCTGCTTCGAACTACTCGGCTTCCTCTCCTTCTCTGCTTGGCAAAAAGGCCACAACTTAAATACTTGGCGTTCGCCAGACAAATTTTGCATAAAAGTTCACGCTTATAATTCTGGCCGGAAGTAGAAATAAGAAGTGATAGTAAAGATTTAAAATAAAATAAACGTTAGTAAAACTTAAGATCCTTACACACTCTTTCCCGTTCCTCTTTTCTCTTTCCTCTTTCTCCCTCTCTTTCCGTCCTTTATTTGTCTAAGACTCCTTTTGACGAATACTTCATCATAATCACTACTTTCAACAATTTTCTGTTTTAAATCCTATTTTCATATCTGCAGTCACATGAACTCCCAGTTCAGCCGCGAGATTTTGCAAATCTTCCTTACGAGCTCTTCCCAAGTAGGACATTTTTTTATGTTTTTAAAATTAACGAACACTGTGTTCTTTATATTTCCTCAAAATAGCTCAATTCAATTACTTTAGTTAATTAATGCAGTCAGGAATCACGAAATTAAATGCACTTTGTTAAGTACGTATACCTCAAAAATGAAAATTTAAATTATATGAAGTTCATTCTCTGTACCCATTAATTGTGATTAAAATAAGAATAATAACATAGAGCAATATATATATCTACCGTCTGGACAACTAAAATGAATATTAAATATAATATCAATACGGTAATAAAATAAGACAATTTATTATTAACAGGAAGTAATAATCTGGTATCACTAATATTGCGTTCAGTGATGAACTAATAACATAAAGCAATTCTATATAAACATTAAGTAATAATCTGGTATCACTAATATTATGTTCAGTGATGAACTAATAAATAAAAATACGCACGATTATTCGATCTCGGTCAGTGCCTCCAAATAATTAAGACTGTGATGCTTCTTTGTCGATATGAAGCAACTCCAATGATGGAACACAGCAATAACTTTTATTTAACACTCAAAAAAATGGCGACATACAAACAAGAAGAGAAAAACATATTCTAACATTTAAAAATAAATTACATTCTTTGTGCGAGAGTCGCACGTTGCACTCGAGTCTGGTTTCAAATATTGCCATTCACAAATACCTCAATGTTCATCTATTTAAAATTATTTAAACTACAAGATTTTAATAATATGTAAAGCTGTTACAAGCTCTCACGCAAAACCTGAACGCTTTAAATGGGGCTTTCATTTCTGGCAACCTCGCCCGCGAGATGGCCACTAATTAGTTTCCTGCTGTTGTTAGGAGCGGTCTTAAAATCCGTACCCTGGGGTATTCTGCACTTTCGTCGAATGTGCCCTTCAGCACCGCAGTTCCAGCACTTAACGGTCGGTTTCTTCTCACCAATATTTCGTCTTAAGGTGTTCAGTTGTCTAGTTAAATCGTCTAGACGAGCGGTGACTCTGGCTCCCCTGGCTCTTGGACTTGAGCAGCTCTGACTGGGTGGCGGTCTCGACGAGTGGCTTGCTGGGCTGCCTCGAATTTCATGGCGTACACTAAAGTGCTTTTCAAATCTTTAACCTCCGCCATTCGCAGTGCTTTCTGTATTTCAGGGTCCCGGATGCCATCGATGAAATATTGCAGCGACAGGATTTCCCTCGTTTCTCTCGGGCACTCCGTAAAGGCGAGGTGGGACAGCCTTTCAACATTCGTGGCGAGTTCCTGGAGTGATTCGGTGGGCTTCTGTTGACAGGATTTTAATTGAAGCCTGCTAGTCTTTTAAACATTTCCTCGCCAAAGCGCAACTCCCAATGCGCGGATAGAGCTTCGAAGTCAAGTCTTTGATTTTCGGGAAGCGTCTGCAGGATATCCGCTGGTCTGCTCTCAGCGAAGCGGCGATGACAGGCCTTAGTTTCGGAATCCCATCCATTCGCATCCGCCACTATAGAAAATTGTGTTTTATACACTTGCCAGGAGCTCTTCCTATCATAAGTGGATAACTTTAGAGAGGGACGAGCAGCATGGGTAAAAATTGAAAACCATTACTATTGTTCCCTGCCGTCGCTACGAATTTTTTTAAAATATCCACTTCTTTGGCTACTGCAGAAACCCTATCATCAATTTGTTGCTCGATTTGGTGTTGGACGGCACAAACTCTTCCTTCAATTCGTTCCTCCACAGCAGAAACTTTCCCTTCTATATGTTCTTTTACAGAAGAAACTCTTTCTTTATTTCTTCTTTCATTCCGAAGAAACTCTTTCTTCAATTTGATCTTTTACGGAAAACTTTTTCTTCAATTTGTCCAACTTTATTTTCAACTGTGTCAATTCTGCCTTCCATAGCTTCAAATTTATTTTCTATTATGCAGGTAATTTCTCTTTTCATTTCTTCTTGACCAGCTTGAACGGCTTTCATTTCGTCCTTAACGGATTCCGTGCTTAATTCCATCTCCTCTTTAACAGAATCTTTCATCTGTTCTTTAAATGATGTTTGGCCAGCTTCCATCTTTTCTTGGAATGCAGGAAAAGCAGTAATAAGCTGCGTCAATTGTTCCTCCATCGCTCTAGTAATTGGCATTCAAAAACCCCACTCCTGACACCAAAAATTGTTGCGTGCGTACGGGTTCGTCATGAAATGAATGCACAAGTCCGATGAAAAATGAACAAAAATTTATTATTATCACAACAAATATGCTTAAATTTCCTAAAATATTCGTGCAGTAGTACAATATTTCACAGTAGTTATCTTTTAACTACTCAAACGTTCAAAAGAACTTAATTCAAAACAACTAAAGAAAGCTAATCTGCGAATTCGCTACAGTCAACAAGAGCAGTTTTCTAAACAACAATAAACTAAGTAACTAACACGAACTTTATTTATTTTATTTATTTCTGATTCACCTCAGGTATACAACTACTTTGAGTTTTGACCTGTTCAATCTGTGTAGCCTATGAAGGCCCTTCACGGTTTTTAGTACATTAAGGTGCTACTGCACCTCGCCCGGGCGCGTGACATTAGAACAAGGTGCAATCATTCCGTGGCGAAGTCAAGCTGAATATACGAAAATTGGGAAATTATTACTTGGAAAAACAAATCATCCAGATTCAAGTCCATGCATGATGCATTCGGTTAGGATAGTAGCGTAAGGTTACTGAGATAGAGTGCGCAGTTCAGCAGGTGATCAGGAGTAGAACCACAGCAGTGGCCGTGGTGAGATCACAGAATACACAGTCCTTAACACATATTATTAATTCAGAGTCTCTAGCCTGCTTCCAGGCAAATAGCCAATTTTGGCAGTAACACAGTACTTGGTTAAATAATAAGGTTAAATAAATAAGGTTAGATAGAGCACAAAACACAACTTCATATGTACACTATTTACATACTTACTTCACCACCGCGCATTATGGTGAATCGACGAGGTCTCTTCACACGCTGTCCACCGTAGGGTCATAATTACCGAGTTCTCTTAGCGTGGCACTGGAGAATTATCCATTTTTTCGAAGAAGTTGTGCGCCTCCATGAGGATTTGTTCAGGAATGGGCTTTATTTTCAAGTTTATATGAATGACGCTATTTCGTACAAACCAGGGCGCGTTAGTGATGGCTCTCAAAATTATGTTTTGGAGGACTTCTAGTTTTCTCCTATCCGTTTTATTGGTAATTGCCCACGCTGGGTACCACGAACTTATTTATTTATTTATTTATTATTCACCGCAGGTATACAACTACATTAAGTTTTGACCTGTTCAATCTGTACAGCCTATGAAGGCCATTCACGGTTTTTAGTACATTAAGGTGCTACTGCACTTCGCCCGGGGGCGTGACATTAGAACTAAATGCAATCATTCCGTGGCAAAGTCAAGCTGAATATACGAAAATTGGGAAATTAGTACTTGGAAAACAAAATCATCCAGCATTCAAGTCCATGCATGATGCATTCGTTCAGGAGGTACCACGAACTGAGAGGTTTTCCTCCTTTTATAAGATTTTAATATCACGCGCGAGGATTTTCTAGTATTTTCTCGAAATCAAAAAGAGATATTTATTAAATGTTAAATGCACGCGCTCTTGTATTTTCAATTTTCCGGCTTAGCTTTCTTTTAATATTCGTCACGCGCTGCACTGCGCGGGAAATAAAACCATTTAATTTATAACTGAACTAACATTAGCTTTTTAAATACCAAATTCGTAACAATACATAATAATAAGTCTGGTTATACTACAGCCATATCAGTGGCCGATAAGACCGCTAAATATTAGTTGTTCGATTTGGATTCAAACTCAGACGAACGAATGCGATGGCTGTGTGGTATTTTTCCATGTATAACATGAGTATGAGCTATTTGTTAGAAAGTCCTCTATGAAGGCATTTTTCTCCTTAAAAGCAGATAGTCCTCGTGTGTTTTGCTGTATTCAAATAATCCTAGCCTTCAAACTACGACACCTATCACTCTAAATCAAGATTAAAGTTTTCTAAACAAGATTTTTTAATCGGGCTGTGGGGGTTCCAGTGGCCAATCGCTAAAACCGCTGAATACTGGTAATTCGACATGGGTTCAAATCCTGACGAACGCGTTTTTTCTATGAAAGTTTTCCAGCGTTTTTCTACGTTCAGTGTGGATGAGATATAGTTACTCTTAGAAATTCCCTCCATGATAGTTTCAGTCCTCTTGCGCAGAAAATAAATTATCTCAAATATCTAAAAGACGGATTTATAGGAGAATAAATCAACGTTTTTTATCGGATTCGTCAGAAGATGAAGTAGCATTTAATTCTGAGAAAAGGCTGTGCCGAATTTTCGCGCTAGCAAATATTCTTCAAGTTCCATTTCAAACTATGTCATTTTTAAGGAATATTCCAAATATAGGACTAATAAAATTCCGTTAGACTTTATGCGCCTTTTGTGCTTAGGAGTAGAACGAAAAATGATTGCTATTAGGATAGGCGGAGGCGGCATCTTACAAGCACGATTGCCACATAAAAATGTTGAACTAATTTTTAAAAAAATTGACCAGTTTTTAAAGCCTTATGTACCAATTGAATTTGCAAGAAAAACCAAGGAATTGAAACACTGGAAAGCTACAGAATACCGTCAATTTTTACTGTACACTATACTTACTTATTATTATTATTTTTTTAAATTTTAACAAAAAGCTATATGATTACTTTTCACTACTTCGTATTTCGATTAGACTATTATGCAAAATACAGAATTAAACTGCAATTGATGAAAACGCACAGTTTCTATTAAATCTCTTCGTAGTAAATTTTGGGCTTTATAATGGAAAACGGTATATTTCTCATAATGTACACGGCCTACTGCATACTTGCGAAGATGTAAAAATGTTTTGGCTGTTAGAGAATTACAGTACATTTAAATTTGAAAGCTATATATCTTCTATAAAAAAATTGATTTGAAAAACTTCCTCTCCATTACAGCAAATAGCAAGATGAACTCATGAACTGTTCGATCATATTGTAGCCATCAATAATGATTCAATCAACGTAACAGACTTAAGTTCAGAATTTCAAAACTTAAAGACGTCTGGTCCACTGCTTAAAGGTTGTAGGGATTTATATTTAGTTTTACTAATAATTTAAATTTTAGTTCAGACTTTCCTATAAGCCTTCATTCCCCTAAGTGTCAGTGCCAGAATAGTTAAATTTGGTAGCGAGCGTGACGAGAATGCAAATTCTACCTTGAGGAGAAAAGTTTAAATACTGAGGTTTTAGAATGGAAGAGAGAGTTGGGCTCGAGTAGCCGTCTCTGCCGTAGGTACAATCATTGATTGCTGGTTTAAGTGGCTAAAATGCATTTATCTGCTGCCACTAGAGGAGGTCGAAAGTCGGTATCTCGCTGAGCCCTGTAGATTAGTTCAGCACTTGTTAAACATTTCAACTTTTGATTTTTAAATTATCTGCTCTTCAGTTACCGCTCAAGTGGAGGCGAAGTTTGTTAGCGTCAAGTGGACGCAGTGTAAATTTTAAAGAGTTAATAAAGGGTTTGAACCCTTTCTTTGTGTAGTTTCCTGTTACTCCTGTATCCAGCTAGAGGTTAAAGCACCTGGACACTACAAGGTAATTAAATGCTTAATTTTATTATTGAATTTTGAATACAAATTAACTGAAGTCAGAACTGGATTTGTAGAATAATTTAATTATGAATATATTGAAGAATTCAGTTTTGGGCTATTGAATGGTTAAAAATGATCGAAAGATTTTTAGTATTTTAAAGCAGAATTTTCTCTTATAATATTTTGTATTAATAATTCAAGTCACTTGCTCAGTTTCAGATATATTTACAAATTATTAAATAAATTGAAATTCAAATTAGAAAAATAAATTGTATAAATATTCTTAACATTTCTTATTTTTCCATACTAATCACAGATGGAGGACCTGAGACTGTCTATGGAAAATAAGCAAGTTTCAGGTTATCACAACACCTTCACACACTTTCACTGGAATATAAAGAAGATTTCTGGGGATATACTGGGATGTAACATTAAGCAGTTGAGAGAGTATGTATTTAAGAGGTTAAAGGGATATTAAAACTAGTATTTCAAATCCTGATTACATCCCATACGCTGTTGGTGGGACCTAGATAGGATGTCCTAAAGATATACTGGAATGTGACATTAAGCACTCGGGAGGATGAGTTTAGGAGGAAACTGTGATATTACGGGATGTCCTTAGGATATAGTAAGTAAGACTTTAAATCCTAATAACACCCCATACGCTTTCGATGGGGCATAGATAGGATGTTTTTAGGATATAATGGGATGTGTTTAGGAAGTTAGTGGGACATCCCGGGATGTCCTGAGGATGTAGTAAGTAGGAAATCATATCCTAATAACATCCCGCACGCTGTCGATGGGACTTAGTTAGGATGTCCTGAGGATATCCCGGGATGTGACATTAAGCACTCGGGAGGAGGTGTTTAGGAGGTTCGCGGGATATTCCGGGATGTCCTGAGGATGTGCGCATATCCCGCGAGCAACATCCTCGGGATATCCCAAGGATGTTTTTGTGCTAGGTGGGTATACCTGAAAAATGGGAAAAACATGAAAAATCTCATGCAGCCTGTTCGTTCCCCAGGATCTGAACCCTGTCGAACTACCAAGGTTTAGCGGTTTCATTCTCTGCAGCGTGAAGGATTATTTACTTAAAGCATAGTATATCATGCCCATTTGTTCATAGGATAAATGTCTTCGTGAAAGATTCTCTGAGCGAACCTGTAACGTAAATAATATTTGGGTTCAAAGATATTAGGAAAATATCTAAAATAATGTTTACAAAATATATTATGTAGCAATTAGAATTTAATCTTAAATACACTTTCAATATGAATCTGAAAACGGCTAAAACACGTGCCTATAATTTGTAAGAAAGTGCTCTGATCACTAAGCACGAAACAACAACAGATATTTGAAAATATTATTACTTACAGCCAACATATACAAGACCAAAATAAGTGTAAGCATAACAATTAAATTTCATATGCAGAATAGTAATCCATAGAGTAAGATTTCGATTCTTATCATATGACTTGAGTGTGGTACAAGGTTACTTTACTTTAATATTTTCAGATATCAGCTTCCATAAAAAGTAAGTACTGAAGATATCTCAGAAACAACATCCTCAGGAGATCTTCATATATCCCGGGACATTACGACTTGAACAGGACATCCTTAAGATGTTGATTTACGATGTCCTCAGGATATCTAAAAATCAACATCCTGAGGAGAACTTCATATATCCCGGGACATTGAGACTTGAATAGGATATCCTCAGGATGTTGATAGTCCTCAGGATATCTGAGAATGAACAGCCTCAGGATATCCTAACTTTTTCCCGGGACATTGCGACTTAAATGGGATATCCTGAGGATGTCTTGTGTTATGGGGGTTATTTTACCACACCAGTGCATTTTTAACCAGCGTCTGGTCGAATATTATCATTTACAAAATTGTCACGCTGGAACCCAAATATTCGTCGGAATATTAAAGGAGCGATTTTGGATAGTGAGAGGCAGAAGAGCGGTCAGGAAACTCGTAAAAAATTGTGTAAAATGCAATCGATACAAGGCCAAGTCTCCCGGTTGCGATCCGGTGTCTCTACCAGGCGATCGTGTCAATGACGCAGTGGTGTTCGAGGTAATAGAAGTTGATTTAGTAGGACACTTGTATGTGAAGACAGGTGAAAAAGTTTGTTTTGTTCACGTATGCAATATATGGAGCCGTTCATTTGGAATGACTTCCTCATTGTCTACCGACGCATTCTTGTTGTCATTGAGACAATTCGTATCCAGAAGTGGGAGGCCGAGAATAATTTATTCCGACAACAGAACCAATTTTCGAGGAGCGCAAACAGAACTTAAGAACATCGATTGGAAAAAAAATTTGAGGCAAACTGCTATACAACGCATAATATGGAAGTTTAATCCTCCCACAGCCGCTTGGTGGGGCGACTGGTGGGAGTAGTTAGTTCGGGTAGTAAAAGAACTGTTGAGAAGGACAGTCGGTAACGCGGTTCTTACAACCGAGGAGTTGTACACAGTATTTGCGACTGTGAGTCGATAATTAACTCTAAACCTCTTACCTATCTGCCCGAAAATTCGGATGATTTAATCCCCCTTTCCCCAGCTATGTTTCTCATCCAGAATTGTAGCTTAGATGTTCCCGATGTTGATTTCTGCGATTCAAAGGGTCTTCGAAAAAGGGCTAGACATCGCCAAAAACTACTTAACCCCTTAAGGACCAGCGCGCGGAGTATGAAGCGCAGTCACGGCACCGGACCTGCTGAAATGGATCGTCACCACCGCCCCACGCATTTTTAGCAGTTAAGCCTAATTTTACAAAAAAAAAAAAAAAAATCATATATAATCAGCATTTTGATATAATGACTTCAATTTTTGAAGTGGCATATTTAATGTACTTGTTTTTAATGCGTAATATAATGAATAACATTAATAGAAATAAATTAAACAGGCAAAATACTAAAATCATAACTATACACACAGAAATAAATACTATAACCTGAAAACAAAATTACAAATACGAAATTTTAAAAAAACTTTTAAGAATTACCCGTAGGTAATTAAAATCCAATTTAAACTTCTGCTGTGTGTGAAATAATTCAAGACAAGGATCGACACATAGTCCTACACTGCATATGTTCCACTCAAATTGTGTTCTTTCCTTTCGCTTTTCCTTGTTTTTAGAACACGCAACGCATCTTTTCCTACCTTTACTACCTTTTCCGTCACTATAAATTTTCGGAATGTGTCTTCCAGTTAGACGGAAATGTGAATGTTTCCGGTGATTTTGGACAAATTTTTAAGATTTTAAGTAAAGTTTCTTAGCCAGGGTGTTGTGTAGCAAAATTCATTTAATTATTTTATTTACTGCTTATCAAAATTTAATTTATTAACTATTCTAAATTTATGCTACACATCGTGTATTTCAATTAATTATTTGTGCTGTTTGGTTTAATTTTAGTTGGGATTTTCTGTACGAAAGATTAGTAACTTCTTTTCACTCGCTACTTGCAAACGCGCTGAAACACACAATGGAATTGGATAAATTTCCACTTAATAAACTAGGATTTTTGTGACTTAATTTAAGTTTAACTCTTAATGTTTAGTATCATTAGAAGCAGAAAAATTAGCACTTTAATTTGAGACTACTTTCATAATCCTAGCTTTAACAGATTAAGTTATAGCCATTTAATTAACGAAAAACTTGCAAAACTTTTGTTTGGTTACAAAGGGTGATGATATTGGGAAAATTTTCCTTCAGTGACAAAAAATATCGTGTTTTTGGACTTGGGTAAGGCGATTTCCTGTGGGGGAAGTTTATGATTGTCAGATTCGACATATCAGCTGTTCTTAGGGGTGGCCTTGCTTGGCACGTATTTGTCAAGAATCGAGTTCTGTCTTTAGTTCAAAGCTTCAGAAAAAGTAGAAATTTTGCATGAAATTTTGCATGGCGGGAGTTTTCGGCAACTGGATTTTTCACCTTTTCGGGCAGGGGTTTAGCTAAGGTGGCTGTCCCGTCATATCTAAAAGGGGTTGTTTCGCGGGAATTCCTGTCTCTTGACACATTCTCTTGGACGCGCGCACTTCTCTTTTCTCAGAGGGCTTATACGACGAGGGGTGTGCCTCTGTTGCTCGAGGCCTAGATTTCAGCTTATGATTATTCATCGTGGCCAGGTAGCCATTTGGCATTTTCTAAAACTTAAGTCATGGAGTTCATAAATTCTTATCAATCACTCACAGTTAAAGAATTTCCTTGTTCCTTAGAATTTCTTCAGCAATTAGTTAAAAATGTAAAGCCAGTATCTCTTAAAGACTTATTCTTCCAGATGCAAGCATCCTCTATCGAAAGAGGTAAATTTGCCCCGTTTTGCGGTCCTAT